TCTCTCTCTCTCTCTCTGTGTGTGTGTGTGTGTGTGTGTGTGTGTGTGTGTGTGTGTGTGTGTGTGTGTTCTTATGTATGCACCTGTCTGTGCTAGATGCTTCCCCATGTTTACAAATATAATGATCAGAGGACATGGGGTGTCCTCCTCTATCTTCTGATGCCTTATTCCTGTAAACCTGAACCTGAAGATCAGTTAGCCAGGCTGACCACTCAGCAAGTCCTCAGGATCTGCTTGTATTCAATGTTACAAGCACACCAGGCCATGCTCAGCTTTTTTCTCAGGTACTAAGGATTTGAACTCAGGACCTCATACTGGTATGAGCAAGCTCTCTTAGTCACTGAGCCATCTTCCCAGCCCTAAGGGCCAGGTGCTGAAAAGGGTGTGACACGAGATTGAAATCACACATTCACCTGCTCATTTTATTTGAACTGTTTCAGGACAAAATTTGCCAATGAGAGCAGGAAGTGTGTCCCTATCCCAGAACAAAGTCTTGGGTATGAGCCCATCACCTACCAGACAAACATGAGACAGCATGTGACCTTTCTAATGGTCGGGGTTCGGAAGAGGTCCAAGATGGAGTTGGAGGTTCGGACACTTGCAAACTCACTGTGGATGTATGAGCTCACCACCTGCATGAGGAATGTTTGATCAGGGTGGTTGAGGGTTATAGCAACCCATTTCTCTGCTGGGGACTACCTTATCAGTAGAAAACAGGGCTTCGTTGTGTTCTTGGGATGGTACCTTGCCTTATCCTCCTCTTCAGTCAGGAACTGGTGGCCCTTAAAGACTGCTTGCATGATTTTGAGATAGGGAGTTTGCAATATGCACCCCAGAAATCCTGAGGTTCTGTGGCATTAGAGATACACTCACTTAACTCCTGGTAACTTCACGATAGTGTCAGTGGTTAAAAGCAGCTGCCTGGAGATAGCTATTAGAGTACTGGGTTAGCATGTGCAAGGCCATCTCCAGTACAACCCTGCCATGTGCTCACAGGCAAATTACCAGGCCTAGCCAAACCTCAATGTCCGTTTCCTTCTTTTTTACAGTTTTTTGTTACATTCATTTATTTTGTGTGTGAGCACACAGGTGCTACAGCATGTGTGTGGAGGTCAGAGCACAACTTTTGGAGTCAGTTCTCTCCTTCCTTCCTGCGGGTCCTGAGGATTGAACTCAGGTCATCAGGCATGGCAGCAAGGACTTAACTCCCTGAGCCCTCTCACTGGCTCATCTGGGTTTTCTTTTTCTTCTTCCTCTTTTTTTTCTCCTCCTCCTCATGTGTGTGGTGTGTTCATGTGATCATGTATGTGTACACTCACATGTAGGAGGCAAATGTTGATAATCATGTGTGTGTTTTGTGTGCTTACTTCAAAGACAGGGTTTCACTGTGTATCCTTGGCTGTCTTGGAACTCTCTCTGTAGACCAGGCTGGCTTTGAACTCAGGGATCTGCCTGCCTCTGCCTTTCTATTGCTGGGACTAAAGGTGAGTGCCACCATGCCTGGTTATGTGTGTATTTCTCAAAAAATGTATTTGAACTTCAAGGTTTTGCCACTGAACCTGGAACTTAGCATTGCAGCTAGGCTGGCTGGCAAGTGAATCCCTGGGGTCCACCTCTCTCTACCCTTCAGTTGGTAACCACCACACCTGGTTCCCCCCACGCATGCTAGGGATTCAACTGGGGTTCTCATGCTCTACAATAAATACTTTGTTCACTAAGGCATCTCCCCAGCTCCCATACTCAACACTTCATGCCCTACCTGCCCTGAATGTCATCACTAATCTCTGCACTGGGACGGCAGGCAGGTAAGTCCTGGCCAAATGACAAGTTCCTGGGTAACCAGAAGCTGTTAATACCACAAAACTCCCCCAGTTTTCCATTCACGCCTGCTCACCTCTATAGTCAGCCTCTCCCCTTCCTCCTTCCTGCCATTTATCATGGCCACCTTCCGGAGGTTCTGTACAGCTTGCTGGGACTTGCCGTGAAGTAGGAGCCATCGGGATGACTCTGGAAGCCACCTAAGACACAGAAGGATCATCCCACCCACAACCCCAACACATCATCATTGCCTTCTACCAGACCCTAAAGGCAGGTGGCATGGTCTCCTGCTTCAAAGCCAGGACATGACACCAATATCCCTTTGTTGTTGTTGGTTTTGTTTTGTTCTCCCTAGAAAACCCAGGCTAGACTCAAACTCCTGGTCCTTCAGGCTCTGCCTCCATAGTGTGGGAAAGACAGGTGTGCACCACAACACCCAACGTGATACTCCCCCTGGATTTTTTTTTTTTTTAATGTGGGTGGGTTCCAGAATGTGGGTAGGTTGGAGAAACTGAACTCTGGTTGTTAAACTTGAAAGCAAGTGCCTTTACCTGCTGAGCTATTTTGCCCACCTATTTTCCTTTTTTAAAAGGCATATCATACAGAGAATAACTGAAGAGTCCTTCAAAACTAAGACACACTTGGTATTGATTCTGGTTCCTGCTCTAGTTGTGTGGCCTCTGGGGGCTGTACCTCAGTTCCCCTCTTACAGAACACCATGGGGTTTCTGTGAAGTATAGTGAAATTGATTTAGGCAAAGGCATGTTGTGTGTCCCAGAGCTCCATGCCAGGGAAAGAGTTTTGCCAAAGATTCCCTAAAGCTATTTGTGAGTACTGGGGCCCTTGTGACTCTCATAATACCTTCTGTTCTCTGTGTTCAGCATGTGGAAGACACTACACACTCTCATCTGTCAAGAAGCTGTGTCGGAGCTCATCCGCACAGATGCACACCCCCACCCAAACCCCCCTCTGAAGGACATACCAAGAATAGAGGAAAAAGACCAGGAAAGGAGCAGAGACAGCAAACTGCAACCACCGCCAGGGGCGGATCAGGTGTGCCACGCCAGCCAGGATGAGCTGGCCCAAGGTGAAGGAGAAGCCCAGCAAAATGCCCGCCACTGTCCGGCCCCTGGTCGGCATCCACTCTACAACTGTGGAGGAAAGGTAGCCAACTTGAGTGACTCATCCACAGCACAGCTGTTTAGTTCACCTGTCTCTTCCTCTTGACTGTGGCAACTGTGGCCAAGATGGATCTAGACAATACTCTTATGTGGCCTATTGGAGGTGGTCATAGGACATCAGACTCTACAATTGTTTCTTTGTAAGATCGAATGTCCTGAGACAGAGTGTGGAGCTTCTGTTGGATTGTCCCCTCCTTCGAGTGTGTGTGTGGAGCTTCTGTTGGATTGTCATTGAGTTGGTATTTGTTTTGTTTGTTACTATACGTGTGTGTGTGTGTGTGTGTGTGTGTGTGTGTGTGTGTGTGTGTACTCAAGCACCCATGCATTCAAGTGTACAAACATTTTTATGGTATAGAGGTCATTCAAGAAAGAGATGGCCTGTGAATTTAAGGCATCTGCTCTAAGTCATAGCTGGACACCTGCTGATCTAGAAGGTGGTGGGTGGGACTGGATTACTGAGGTGCCAATATATGGTTAACACCTTCCAATATCCAAATGCTGGGACAGAAAGAGGCAGGAAAGGGGTCCTGATCTACAGAACCTGATCTACACACCTGGTTCTCTAGGAACAAGAGCTCTGTCCCACCCTGAAGTCAAAGGCCCATCTGTCTAAGGACAGCTGAAGGTGGTAGCAGTTTCTGAGCCTGGTCTTTAGAAGTAAACTAAGTGGTTTATGAGACACACAGCTGAGTGGTGATGGCACATGCCTTTAATCCCAGCACTCAGGAGGCCGAGACAGGCAGATCTCTATGAGTTTGAGGCCAGCCTGGTCTACTGAGTGAGTTTCAGGACAGACAAGGCTACACAGAAAAACTGTTTTGAAAAAAATAGAGAGAGACAGAGAGAGGGTGGACTGTCTATTGCTTCATAATGCCTTCTGAGAGGGCCACCTACAGGCTCGGTTTTATCACTGAAGGGTGACACTCCTATTTGTTTAGTACTTAGGAGTTTAAATCTATGCCATGGAGCTAAGAAATGACCAGCTTTTGCAGCTTAGCGAGCCCATCTTCCCTGCAGCCATACAGTCTCAGGGCTCTCTGAAGTCCTTGGAACCATCTTATTTCTTTGAGACAGGGTTTCTCCGTGTAGCCTGGCTGTCCTGGAACTTGCTTTGTAGCCCAGTCTGGCATCAAACTCCAAGAGATCTGCTTGTCTCTGCCTCCTGAGTGCTGGGATTAAAGGCCTGTGCCACCACTGCCCTGCTATTTCTTTATTATAGACAGGGTCTCACCCCTCTGTGGTTTCTGGCTAGCCTGGAACTCACTTTGGAGACTAGGCTGGCCTCAAATGTGTGATCCTCCTGCCTCTACCTCCTGAGGGCTGGGACTGTATTGATGCACCGTGGCACCCTGCCCTAAAGTGTTGATTAGGATTACTTGGTTGTGTGAGCACCCCCTTCCCCACTTCTGCTTATTTACACACTCATGAGGATTAGGCAAGACTCAAACTTGCTTTGTAACTGAAGATGACTTTGAACTCTGATCTTCCTGCTTTTACTTCCCAAGTGCTGGGATCACAGGTGTGAGCCACTGTACATATCTGGCTCCCCTGGAGATCATTCTATCTCATGGTCTTTTGTCCCAGTCACCCATGTGACCCCACCAAAGTCTGGCTCATTGTAGACAATTAGTGGCTATTGTTGAGTAACTCAAATAAGATGAACCTGAACCTTGAAGTTCACAGATTAGTAAACTGAAACTCAGACCCAAGGTCCACTGCCACTGCTGCCAGGGTCACACTCTGTCAACCCAGGTCTTGCAAATCCAGACCCCTGGATAGGAGGTTTTGAGTTGAGTTTCTGAATGAGAATTACCACAAAACAAAATTTAAAAAGATGTCCTAACGATGGCTGTGAGTCTCCCTTCTCATGACCCCAGCCAATGTGGGTCCCACCTGGGCTGCACTCACCCAGGGAGAGGGAGTTGAGGATGATGCCAGAGAAGGTCATGCCCATCAGGAACCGGAACACACAGTAGGCGCTGAAGGAGCCGACATATGCTGTCGCAGCCCCTGAGATTGCCAGCTGCAGGTACGACCAGACCAGGGGGGCCTTGCGACCCAACCTGCACTCAGAGAGTGAGGGGTTATGGAATCCCAAGGTGGCTAGAGAACCCCAAGGAAATAAAACCTGTACCTGACGCTTCTGCCTTGTTGAAGACACCAAAGCAATCAAGGAGAAAATGAGATGCCCAGTGAAAGCCAACCCGCTAAATAGCACATGAAACTGCCAGGCCCCCAGTACTGGTGGCCAAGGCTGATCAGGAACAGAGGGACATGTATGGAAGAAAATCAGAGACTGAGAGATTTAGTCCAGGATGGGGAAAGGGGGAGATTGTGAAAAGACCCAGAGCTGCATGCCTGTGGTCCCAGCATTGGGAAGTGGAGGCAGAAAGATCAGAAATTCAAAAAGTATAAGAAAAACATTCACCGGGCTGTGCTAGTGTGTGCCTTTAATCCCAAAACTTGGCAGGCAGAGCCAGGAGGATGTGTGTGATCAAGGCCAGCCTGGTTTTCAGATGGAGTTCTAGGGCTACACAGAGAATCACTGTCTTGAAAAAACAAAAAATAGAAAGAAATATATATATATATATATATATATAATTTGAATTTTTGAAAACAAAAAAAGAAAGGATTTTGAGAGCCCATCCCATGTGAAGGGATGCTCTCTTGACCTGGACACACAGGGAAGGGCCTAGGCCTGGCCCAGGATGATGTGGTAGACTTTGGGGAGCCCCTTTTGAGGGCCTTACCCTGCCTGGGGAGTGGAGGGGGGATGGCTAGGGGGGGGTGGGATGTTGGGGGGGAGGGGAGGGAGAGGGAGAAGGGATTGACATCTAAAGCAAGTTTGTTCCTAATTTGAACTAATAAAAGAATAAAATAAAAAAGTCAAAAAAGAAAGAGAAAGCGAGAGAAAGATGCTCACAGATACATATCCAAACTCATTACATTTATACACATTCAGACACACATACACATGAAAAGAAACAGGAAGAAAGGAAGGAGGGAAAGAAAAGAAGGAATGCAGATGAATGCAGAGGTTTTCCCTAAACACTCACCTGTCTGCAAGGCTACCAAACAAAGCAGCGCCTACCAGCACGCCAGACATGTAGACAGACTGAGCCAGGTCCCGGAGGGAACGGGCCTCACACACCAGGTCCCACTATTAGGGAGAGAGAAATGCTAAGCCTTGTCCTTAGGCAGCAGCCTCCCCTAGCACCCCAAGGCTCCCACCCATCTCTGACCTCCATCACGATGGTAGATGGGAAAATGCTTCGGTCATAGACCCAACCATCCTTGCAGTCCTCTGTGGCCACTCCATGGGAGGAGGCATTGGATTTCAGAAGGTCCCACTGAGGTTCTGTGTAGCGCTGGCATGGCTCAGGGACCCCCTGCTGGTTCAGGGGGATGGTGGCCCTCAGCCAGGCCCCTGAGTCATTGGTGCTAGCCTCTGTGTGGTTGGCAGGATGCCAGCAGTGGTGGGGTGGTGCAGCAGCTGTGAAGTTCTGCAGGAAGGTGTGGCATGCCAGCAGCCCACATGGCAGCAGCAGCAAAGCTGTATAGACAAACTGGAAGCGACCCACACCCCCAAGGGCATCTAGCAGGTCTGTGAAGGCCATGGCCAGAGGCTCTACCCAAGGTCCTGTGTGCCCAGGCCTTATGTAAAAAGGTGGGGGAGGGGACTGGGAGGTGGAGGATCAGGCCAGGGGTTAGGACCACACAGGCCCTCTACACTGAAGCTCAGAGGGATCCAGTTACACCACACAGGAGGCCTAATGTCCCCACATCTGCAGGGTGCCCCTCCTCCAGGCCCTTTCTCCAATTCTCTCCATCTTGTGTTAGGAAAGCCCAGGATTGGGCACCAGGGAGGTGGCTGAGTCAGTGGACTGCTTGCTTATCTTACAAGCATACAGCCCTGCATTTAAACTCAGAACCCACTTTAAAAAGATGGCCATGATGTCTGTCATGCACTTGTTTTGCTCTTTGTTTGTTTCTCCAAGACAGGGTTTCTCACTGTAGCCCTGGCTGTCTTGGAGCTCCATCTGTTGACCAGGCTGGCTGGGAACTCAGAGATCTGCCTGCCTCTGACTCCCAAGTGCTGGGATTAAAGGATGTGCACCTGGCTCTTGTACTTAATATGTCTTAAATAAGAAATAAATCAAACACAACAAAACAAAACCAAACAAATCCAAATAGGGCAACCAAGAAGCAGCTTCAGGGCACAGCCTCAGCTTGGGTCAGGGGCATTCTATCCCCACTCACTGGCCAATTAAAGCCACTCTAGAGAGGGCCAGAGGTTTGGGAGGAGTCCATCATCCACCCCTCCTCCCTCCAGGACCTTCCTCACAAAACAGTCCCCTGTGGAGAGGAGGCCTGGGGGCTCCCAGTGAGCAGGTGACTGGCAAACTCAGGGCACTGTCTCTTTCATTATCAGAAATGTCTCTGGCTCCAGAGATTGCACAGAGGGTAGGGGCATTGGATGCTCTTCTAGAGGACCGGTGTTCAGTTCTCAGAGGCACATGTGCCTCACAACCATCAATAATGAGATCTGGTGCCCTCTTCTAACCTGCAGGCAGAACAGAACACTGTATACACAATAAAATAAATAAATCTTTAAAAAAAAGAGTTTCAGTCATTTCTACTTGATAGCCTTGTGGGTAGTCCTCAGTTCCTGGCCCTCTATTTTTCTTTTTACCTATTTATTCATTTGTTTTTCCCCTCTTCTCTTGTCTTCTCAACAGGGTCTCACATGGCCAGGCTGGCTATATGTAGTTGAGGATGACCTTTCACTCTTATTCTTGGCAAGAAGAGCCAGAGGCAGAGCAGCTTATGTAAGTTGTGGGTGTCCCAGTGTGGTTCAGGTAGGAGGCTACAAGCCTTTCCGAGCTTCCTGGTGGGTCAGATGCTAAGTAGGGGTTTTCTGTTTCCTTGCTGACACTGGCAGAAGAGGGAGGCAGGGTCCAACCTCATGGAGGGCATTTAAAACCAGGAAAGCCACCAGGGTTGAACTGTCAATGGAGCCATCAAGTCCACATCTGTGCCCAGACCTTCTCAACATCTCAGGGGCAGAGGTAGCCACAACCAGATGCCCAGTCTTCAGCTAGGGTGAGCATGAGGTTATGACTGTCTCTAGGCCAAGGCTTGCTGGTACAATCAAGGGTTGGGAGAATAACACCCAGAGACAGATGGGCTGCTTTTTCTTTTATTTTTTTCACTGCACTGAAACACAGGACCTCCCTAGCCCACCCCCAGTGCCTGGTCTCCATAACCAGTGCACTAGACCCCCAAGCCTTCCCTTGAAAATGACCATTATAAAAAAAAAAAAGGAGGAGGGGAGGGAGGGAGGGAGAGGGCCTGAGCACTCTCCAGGCCAGGAAGTTCCTGATGGGGTCACAGGGCAGGAGAGTAGTGGTTTGCAAAAGGGATCTTGGCTGCTGCACAGGAAGGCACAGTTGATCCTGGCTATGGGCAGAGGCTTTCAGTACCCAGATGCAGACAGTGTGAGCTAGCTAGTGGTTATACAGTCTGCAGGTCTGGGGATGGCAGGGGCCACAGCCTCCACAGATTAGGGAGGACACACATCCACACACTAGCAGGGGTTGGGGCAGGGGTGCCTGCTCCTGCCCAGAGGAAGGAAGAAGCAGCAAGCTGCCTTCCTGGCTTAGCCATGAGCAGGGTCCAGAGCCTTTGCCACAGAGGCAGGGAGGCCCCATGACTCTGCCCAGAGCAGCTGCTTAGAGGTAGTGGGAAGGAGAAAGCACAGGAGGATAAGGGTGGCTTCCTGGTCCAAGGAAGGCACTTGCTGCTGACGTGGTCTGGGGTGGCATGGCAGGAAGGCACGGCTTGGTGGAAGAAGAAAGGAAGAACACGGCAATGGGAGTTGAATCCCCACTTCATGCAAACATAGTCAGCTGTAACCACTGCAGGACAAGATGGACAGGTTACTGGGAGCAGCAGCATGGCCCCTTCAGCCCCCTTCTTCACCCTTCCCAGAGCTCAGGCTCCAGCCCCAGGGCTCAGCTATCACCATCCACATCCCATCCCCTCTGGTGACAGGAATGATTTATTTTATTATTATTATTTTGTTTTGTTTTGAGACAGGGTTTCTCTGTGTAACAGTCCTGGCTGTCCTGGAGTTCACTCTGTAGACCAGGCTGGCCTTGAGCTCAGAGATCCACCTGCCTCTGCCTCCCCAGTGCAGGGATTAGAGGCGTTCACCACCATGTCCAGCAGAGGGTGCTCTCTTGCTTCCCTAGTCCAGGGGGCCAGCCTGCTGACTCCCACAGCTTCTATGGGCCTGGCCTCCCCCCAAGAGGCCCCAGAAGCCCCTGAGCCAAATTAGGACTAGGGCCCAGATTTGAGGGCCGGTTCCAAGGCCATGGACTCCTGCCCTGGATGAGACAGGTGAACATGGAGGCCTTCTCACCTTAAACAGATCAAAGGTAACAACACCATCCAGGTCTGTGTCCAGAGCTTTGAAAAACCCTGTGTTCAAGAACAGATGCCAGTTAAAATCCAGCAGGACTATCTCCCACCTCCCATGCAGCCCATGGCCATGAAGCTCCCTGCCCAAAGAGGCCTCTCCTTACTGAAAGGTTCAGGCATTATGCTGGCCTGCCCCTGTTACCTGGTGGAATCCACTCAGGCAATACCCTGGTCAGCCCAAGGTTCCATGGGAAAGAAGTCTGCACGCAGGTGCAGAGGACCCCTTTAAAAGATAGGCCCCTGCCCCTTTACGCTCTCTCCCCCCCACCCCCCCCTCTCTGTCTCCTGTCTCCTCTCTCTCTCTCCCGCTCTGTCCCTCTGTCCCGCGCTCTGTGCGCTCTCTCTGTCTCTCTATGGCGCCCAGCCATGGCGGTCAGCCACTACCCTGTTCCTCTTCTTAGTCGCCCCATTCTACCGGCCCTTATAATAAGCTTATAGTCAATATGTCTGTCTCAATATTTCTCTTTTCTTCTTTTTAAACAAAACAATAACACTTACCCCCTCCTCCACCTACAATTCATACACAAAGTACCTATGGATAAGTCCTCTGTGGCCACCCAGCCTCCACCCTTTTCACTCCTCTATCTTTCCCACTGGCTCAGGAGGACACTTTGTGGGCACTGTGGGAAGGTAGGGTGGGTTAAGGATGCTCACGGAACATGGTCTCCAGTCGCACGAGGCAACACACAAAGTTGTCGAAATCCACGGACAGGTCAGGCTCTGAGTAGCGGGTGATGATGAGTTCGTGCAGAACATGGTCTCCAGTCGCACGAGGCAACACACAAAGTTGTCGAAATCCACAGACAGGTCAGGTTCTGAGTAGCGGGTGATGATGAGCTCGTGCAATTTCTTGTTAAGCTTGAAGCCTGCACAGAGGAAGAAGAGCAAGTGAGGGCCAGAGCAGTGCAGCCACACAGGCAGTGGAGGAGTTGGTCTACACAGGGTACTGAGGGTCAGCTTCTGCTGGAAGAAGGTCTGAAAGACCTCTTGGGTAAAACTGAGAGGGGCTAGGCAAGTGAGGGCCAGGAATGGGTGGGGCATCACACTCCCACTCACCCTAGGAAATCCAGAGCTGGCTGCAGAGGACCTAGGCATCTGGTCACATTTGTGCAAAACACCCTGTTTTTTTTCACACATGCCAGTGTGGGAGATTCCTACACCTGTCTCACTGGAGCTGCCCATCCTCTCTCTCTGCCTGTCCTGGTCGTGGGTCCTGAACTCAGTCACTCTCCCTCTCAGAATTACTTCCCCCTTCTTCACACTGGGGATAACAAAGGGCTCTGTTTGATGGTTCCTTAGATACAGCACTTGCTATGAAACTAGGATGCAAAACCAGAGTTTAGATCCCAGGACCCTAATACAGAGAAACCCTGTCTCAGAAACAAAACAAAACAACAACAAGAAACCAAAACACCAGGGGTGTGGTAGTCCACCAGTAATCCCAACATTCACTTTGGAGGCAGAGGGGGAAAGTGGAATAGCTAAACTAGCTTCATCTGTGAGATCCAGGTTCAGTGAGAGACCCTGTCTCAGTAGAAGCTGTGGAGGAAGATAGACGATGTCAGCCTCCGGCTTCTGTGCATGTCCATACACATATGAACGTAAATACATACATGCAACTGCACACACATACACGTGCACAAATTAATTAAAAGGCCCTTGTTTTTGTTAAACTCCTGGGAGAGGAAAGCAGTGAAGAGATGGAGTACTTAGCTCAGTAACCACAGCACCTGTATGAGCACCAACATCCCCCAGCGACAAGGGCCAGCCAGGTCGGCCACTGGCCTGGGGAGCTGTCAGGGAGGCAGCTTGGGGCGCAGGAGCAGTGGGGCCATCAGCCTTGGGCCTCACCTGCAGCCTCAATGGCCATCCTCATCTCGTAGGCACTCATGCTGCCAGACTTGTCCAGGTCAAACTTGCGGAAAATGGTCTGGGTGGAGAGCAAAGGGTGAGGACTGGGTGAGTCAGCAGCTCTTCATGACTGCCTCCTGACCAGCGAGAGTGAAGGGGGACGGGATGGCCAGGAAGGGGGTCATTTGCTGAGATGGACACAGAAAGGAAGTTCCGGAGGAAGTCCTGGCTACACAGCTAGCCTGGGCTCTGCCACCAGGCCTGGCCATGCCATGAGGGCAGGAGAACCCAGACAGGGACCACCTACCAGGTAATTTCTGATTCGGTTCCACAGGATGTTGAATTCCACCAGGCCCAGCTTCCCATTACCATCACGCTTGACAGATGTTAAGAAGGAAACCGCAGGTTTCAGAGCAGGTGTGTAAGAGAGGGAGCTGAGGAGAAGGGAGCCTGGCTGGGGAGGGGAGAGCCGAAGCAGTCACCTGCAGCCCATAACCAGGGTTCTATGTGTTGGGTTTGGTGAAGTGGAATGCGGAGAGGTGCAGAAATACTACCGGCCTTAGGGTCAATTGCGGACAGAAGATCTGTGCCTCAGTTTCCCTTCCTGGCCAACTGAAGATATCCAGGAAGGTGTTTGAACACGAGGCCACCACACACACACCCTCCCAAGCTTCTCCGCTGCTCCTATGACAGTTACACAGCCTCTCTCTCAACCTCAAATCCAGGACAACGAAATCAGATGGAAGGATACATCCATGAGGTTCACCATGCTGCGGCACGACTCCAGGCTGAAGCCATTGGTCCGCAGGTCTTTGTCTGAAACAAACAAACAAACAATCCTAAGTCTGAGAATGTCACTCAGTTGGTAGCATGCTTGCCTGGCACACATGAAGCCCTGGGTTTCATCCCTATCACTGTATAAACCAAGCACAGTGATGCATGCCTGTAACCATGGCAGTTGGAAGGAGGAGCCAGGAGGATCAGGAGCTCAAATACAGACCCTGTCCAAAAAAAAAAAAAAAGAAAAAGAAGAAGGACGGCCTAGTAGTTAAGAGCACTGGCTGCTCTTGCAGAAGACCTGGGTTTGATTCCCAGCACTCATATGATATAGCTCACAACCATCGTAGAACTCCAGAGATCAGGGGATGTGATTCATGTATGTGGTACATTTACATGTAAGCAGGCAAAGCATTTATATACAAACATATTTAGTAAAAATTTGCAAATCCAAAGTCTCCATATAACGCCCTCCCCAACCCCCGGCCTCCATGCACACAGAGAGACACACATAGTCTGTAACCCCAGTGCTGTTCCGGGCAGAGGGAAGAAGATTACTGGGGATTGCTGGCTCCCAGCCTGGACCTAGTCTCAGTAAGAGACCCTGTCTCAGGGGCATAGATGGAGAGTGATAGAGCAGGATACCCGATGTCCTTATGAGCCAAGAGAAATGACAGAGATGGAGAAGGAACCAGTCTCAGGGCTCAACTTAGAGGCCATGCCAGGAGCCCTGAACTGACCAGTGAACGATAGGGGGAGGCTCCAGTCTTGCCTGTGGGTACTGAGACCAGTAGAGCATGGGGTGGAATGCTGTTGTCATGAGAAACAGTAGAGCATTTCTGTGTCTCAGGAGCCAGGTCCGAATCTACCAACTGGCCCAGAATGAAAGGAAGAAAGTACTGAACAGACATACAAGAAATTAGGTATAAGAGGAGCCAGCACTTGCTGGCTGTGGGCTGCAGAGGGTAAACAAAGCTTTGCCACCATGGTAAGGCCAAGGAGATCCTGGGCTGAGGGAGGTGTGTAGACATAGGTGAGGCACAGCAAACCACAGGCAGGCTCATGCCTGCATGCAGCAGCCAAGGCCAGAAGGGAATAGAAAGTCGGGAGAGCTGCTCTGTCCACACACATCAGGGCCTGGAAATGGCACTGAGCACCTGTGGCTGGCCCTGCTGTGGACTGTCTGTCTGTCGAGCACCTGTGGCTGGCCCTGCTGTGGACTGTCTGTCCTCCCTAAGGCCACAGAGCTCAAGCGAGTAGATGGCGTGGAGCAGGGTTAGTGAGGAGCCTGGTATGGGAATGGTGGTGAGTGACTCTAGACAATGGAAGGCTCGCCAGCTGCCTAGACAAAGGTTTGGGTTCATTTCCACGAAGAAGGAGAACATGAGGATTGGAATGGGTTGGGAACAGGACATGGAGTGGGGACAGCCATTTGGGTAGCCTCACGTTTGCTAATGATCCTGTTCAAGATGACCTGCAACTCCTTGACGCTGATCTCCATGTCCTAGGGGAACAGGGAGTATGGCATATGCTGGTTCCCCAGGTCACACAGGGGCTCCTCATCCCACCACCCGCTCCCGGGCCCCGACATACCTCCCCTGCCAGCTTACTGAACAAGGTTTTGAAAGTGTCATCGATCTCTCCTTCAGAGAGCACTTCCTGTACCCAAAATGGAGACAACAGATCAGGCTGTGAACTGACCCTTGCCTGTAGCAACAGCCACCGGAGGTAGGTTGGGACACTCACAAGTCACCCCATCTCTCTGGGGCTCACTTTTCTAACCTGTAAAATGGGATCTGCACTCTGCCTGGGACTCTTGTAGCTTAACAAGTCAGTTAGGTGTTGAAAAGTTTGAGCTAGGATCCCTGCTGTGTGAACTTAGGCAAATTCACCAGCTTTTCTAAACTCGTGTTTCCCATTTCGAGGGTGATATCATGAAGGACCTAGATGAAGTGGTTATGGGGAAGAAAGAAGATACACAGACCTAGCCTAGGAACTTCCTACCATTATCATCGCAGGTCGTTCTCAAACTGTGAAGTGCTGGGCAAACAAGGGACCAGCTAGTCTTGCTCTTAAGGCTCCTATCAGGAGGGAGTCTGCCCTGCCAGCTGGAGCCCATTTCCCACCACATACCTGGGGGAAATGAGGGGACCACATACCTCATCAGGGAGGTTGGCCTGGATCTGGTCATCTAGCTCCCTGCAGAGTGGAGAAGGTCAGTCACAGAGCTTGGGGAAGCTGCACTGGAGTTAGGGGAGGTGGGAGAGGCCAGGGAATCTACTACTCACTGGGTCGCAGCACCCTTCTCTGAGAAGAAACGCAGCACAAAGTCAGCCTCCCTGTTGGGCTCGAAGGTGGAGGGCACTACGATATACTCCCCTGGTGGCAGGCGGATGCGGTTGCTGACTTCTCGAAGGTTGATGAAGGACTCTGTACGTGCCCGAGAAGAATTGGCCAGGAAGAAGTCACGCTTCAAGTGCACAGGCTGACCCACCAGCTGGCAGGAGGAAAGAAGCGAGCAGGGGACTAGGTACCTATTCAATCTACACTTAGACACTGGCTTGGGCCCATAGTCCAGAGCCCACACTGTGACCCTGGCTTGTTAAGTCATGGCACAAAGCCTGCAAGACCCTGATAAGTTACTTTTGCAAAACTTGAGTGCCTCTGCTGGAGGTGTGGCTCAGTGGTACAGGGCAAAGCACATCCCCACCACCTTTACATTTACTGATTGTGGTTGGGGGAGGGGAGGCCTGAATGCTAGAGCGGTAGTGGAGGTCAGAGGGTCAGAGGAAAACTTGTGGGAGTCTGTCCTCTCCTTTCACCATGTGGGTCCCAGGGATCAAACTCAGTCTTCAGGCTTGGGGACAAGTGCCTTTACAGACTGCGACATTCCAGGCCCTGGTTTTGTTCTCCAGCACTGCATTAAGTTAGATATGTGCCTGCCATCCCAGCACTCAGGAGGTAGAAGGATCAGGAATTCAAGGTCACCTTCAGTTACATAGTGAGTTCAAGGCCAGCCTAGGTTACAAACATAAACCCTATCTCGAAAATAAATAAATAAGAAATAAACTGAAAACAAAGAAAGTGAGTGCTGATCTGACCGCAGATAAGGAACTCTACACTATGATGCAGGGGTTGTCCAGATGGCTCAACAGGAAAACACACTTGCTACACAAGCCTGGTGGCTCAAGTCCCATCGCTGGGAGCTATGGAAAGGAGCAAAGAGACCGCCAACTCCACAAAGCCATCCCCTTATTTCTACACTCATAATGCGGTATATACCCCTTTCTCTCTCTCTCTCACATACACATACAAATAACAAATAAATTTAAAAACTGCGATGCGGGTGGGGTATGTAGTCCAGAGATGTTCCCCTAGCATGTGTGAGGTACAGAGTCAATATCCAGTACTGGTAAATAAACCTAAGAGGCCATGTAAGTTCTGCTGCCATTATCACTCATTGGCACTTTCCCTGTGTAGTGCCTTGCATGAAACCTGACCAGTGGCACTTTGCTGACCATCTTGATGGCCCCAGAGGAAATGCTATCTACTTCCTCCCCCCATTAAAATAGGGCCTCGTGTAGCCTAGGCTGGTCCTGCTGTCTTTTTATAATCAAAGATGACCTTGAACTCCTGGACCTCTTGCCTTACTTCCCAAGTGCTAGAATGACAGGCATGTGCCACCATGAACAACTGGGAAGTGCCGTGTCTCAATATGAACCCCAAGGCCCAGGACTTCAGCAACTGTTCAAGAGTGTAGAACTCTCAGCGCAGTGACACAAGCTCCAAAACGTCCCACACCCAGGCCTGATTAGCCCTTCTGCAGTGTGAACAGCAAGACATAGAGAACTTGGCCTGTGTGTGCTGAGTGGGGATCTGAGGTGTGGGCTCAAATCCAACCTTTGCTTGCTGCCCTTGTCCTCAGGAGGGCAATGACTGTTCTACTTGATGAACAAGAACTGGAGGGGAAGTCATTTTCCAGACAGTGATGAGGTAGGGGTGATGGGGCCATGCTCCTCCAGGCCGCATCAGGCCGGTGAGTTCAGGGGCTGATGAACCAAGTAAGTAGAAAGAGAGCCACACCTACCTCCCGTGGGACCTGCAAGAGAGACAGAGAGAATAATGCGTATTTGCCCAGGCAGCTAGGACAAACATGATGGGTAGAAGTCCTGAGCTCTTAGAGAGGGAGCCCAGGGGTCAGGAAACAGGCCAGTGGTGAACCAGACCTATCCCCCCAGTGGAAGTCTGTGTCCCTGTGACTTCCTGGGCCTCTGTTCCTTAGAACAGCTGCCAGGTAGCCTATCTCAGTGTGACAAAGCCCAGGGACAGCTGCCAGGTGGCCAGTCTCAACATGACAAAGCCCAGGAACATCAGAGGCTTCACTTCATCTGCTGCCAGGGCTCTGGGTGTAGGTCAAGGCTATGGCCTCCCTCTACCCTGGCAAGGGGAATCTAGAAGCTTCCACTTCTATCTTGAGTTGCAGAATAAGATGCAAGGGAAGTTCAGCAGTGATGGTGCTAACTTTTTGTTTGTTTGTTTTTTTCCAGATAGGGTTTCCCTGTGGCTTTGGAGGCTGTCCTGGAGCTAGCTCTTGTAGACCAGGCTGGCCTCCAACTCACAGAGATCCACCTGCCTCTGCCTATCAAGGTGTGCGCCACCAAAAGCCCAGCTGCCTTTTTTCATTGTTTATTTTATGTATATGAATGCTCTATTTGCATGTGTGCTTATATGGCAGATGAGGGCATGAGACCTCTTCCCCCCCCCCCCCCCGAGGTG